GGGCCCACTTTAGAATAAAGGCTGTTGAACGAGGTGCAGTGGCTCAAGCCTATAATCTAAGCACCTTTGGAGGCCAAGGCAAAAGGATCACTTGAGCCCAGGAGGTCACGACCAGGCTGGGCAACCTAGTGAGACCTTGTCTCTACAATGTATAAAAATATTAGCCAGGCATGGTGGCATATGCCTGTAGTCCCAGTGATATGGTTTGGCTGTGTCCCCATCCAAATCTCATTTTGAATTGTAGTGCCCATAATCCCCATGTGTCATAGGAGGGACCTAGTGGGAGGTAACTTAATCAGGGGGACAGTTACCCTTATGCTGTTCTTGCGATAGTGAGTGGGTTCTCAAAGGATCTGATGTTTTTGTAAGGGGCTTTTCCCCAGCACTTTCCTTTGCTGCTGCCATGTGAAGGAAGACATGTTTGCTTCCCCTTCCACCATGGCTATAAGTTTCCTGAGGCCTCCCCAGTCATGCTGAACTGTGAGTCAATTAAACCTTTATATATATATATATATAAATTACCCAGTCTCAGGTATGTCTATATTAGCAGTGTAAGAACAGACTAACACACCCAGCTACTTGAGAGGCTAAGGCAGGAAGACTGCTTGAGCCCAGGAGGTCAAGGCTGCAGTGAGCCACGGAGCTCTCACTGCACCACTATACCATTATGCTCCAGCCTGTGCAACAGAGTGAGATACTGTCCCCCCCCCAAAAAAAAAAAAAATCAAGGCTATCTATTCAACTACCTCAACCACTTTGTGGAAGAAAATTGGACATATAGACAAATGTCACTCCATAGGTTGCACTGAGGTAACTCAGTTTGAAGATTATGAACTTAAGAAGCAGAAATAAGAAGAATACACTTTAATGAGGGAAGAACCATTTGCTTTATACAAAGACTTACTTTAGGATTTAGGATTCCTTTAATGCATGTGCCTCTTTGGAGAATTTTAAATAATCTACAGAAATTCAAAAGTATTCTGCAGCCCAGTATGAAAAGTCCCCTACAGTACCACTGCTAAGCAGTGAGTTACAGAAACAACTTTTGCAAACATCTTTGATATAAAATACGTGTATATTTGTTTGGTTTTTGCTTTTTGCTTTTCTTCTTTAGAAGGGAAATGAGAAGCTATTGCTAAAACACAATTATCCAGAAGGCAAGGAGGAAGGCAAGAGATGGGAGAGTTTTACCAGCTCTCTCTCCCGGCATTCCACTTGGACTACACAATCACTTTGCTTTTTCTCTAAGCACAGCACCAGGCATGGTGCAGTGATGAACAAACATATAGACTGCCTGCCATTCAGCTCAGGGGCTAGAGAACCAACTGGATCCCTTTTGTGGGTCGGCTGCTCTCTCTGCTTCTGCTGCTCCTACTTGAAACTGAGATAAACTACAAAATTATGCTTGCCAGGATGACATGAGAAATGAAACCAATGCTATCAGAGTCTACTCCAGAATCCTTGGTTGCAAACAGAATAAGAACTGGTGTGATACAACACTCCTACTAAATCTCCAGTTATATTTTTTAAATAAAACAAGTCAAGGAAGTATCTACACTGCTGGTTGCTTTAGAAAGCAGTAAGGTGAGAAGAGCCCGTACCTTGGTCCACAGTGAAATGGGAAAAGGGGAATTGCTGCCCCAGTAATTCTAATATCTGAACAATACCCTCTGCGAGAATTGCCCACAGACATGGATATAAAGTAGTTAGTGGGAGCTGGCATAGCTGAATTTAACACATGCATAATTTCTAAAGCATTTGGCATTGCCAACTAGAGAGTCTGCAGTCATTTTTTGGATATTTTCCAGCTGGGTATTTTGTTTTTGCTATATATAAGCATTTCCTGATTTTCTCTGCTTCTATTCCTTTTCACCCACCCACTCAGCTGTTCTCGTTGATGCTGATGCCTACAGGAGAAGTGAACAGCAAAGATGAGAGAGAAGCAAGGCCAGAAGGAAGGCAGAGATCAGGAAAGGTTTCAGCTCGAGCTCCTGGGCAGACCACCCCACACACCTGCGGAGAGCCTCCAGGAAGACGTCTCCTCCCACCATGTCGATGGCCACATTCACCCCGCCCTTGCCCACCAGCTTCCTCACTGCATCCTTCAGGCTGCCCTGACTGTAGTTCACACTGGACTGCGCACCCCTCTGCAGCACCAGCTTGCACTTCTCGTCACTTCCAGCAGCAGCTATTACCTGCATCAAGAACACAAGGTATCTGATTATCCAGAATGTGTCCCAAGAAAGTGGCACCCCACCTACCCCAACTCCAGCCAAGCCATGCTGCTCAACGAAATCATTGTGACTTTGCTGCCCTGGCGTTGGCCTTGAGCACACACGTCGAGCCCAACACACAGACCATCTTACTGGCCTCTCCATGCCCTACTGGCCATGCGGTCCACATTTCTAGAAATCCTGGAACCCTAAAGGGGTAACTAGAAGGTGGTTTGAGAGACACTCAGAAAGTCTTCTCAAATGCAAATGAAAACCACCATTTATTGAGCACCTACTATGAAACAAGCAGTAAGGATACAAGATAGATCCTTTAGAGCTAAGAAAGCAAGATACAGCAGAGTGATGGGGAAAATACAGACGGGTCCAGAAATGTAAACAAAAGGCACCCAATCTAGATCTAGAGGGTAAGGAATGACTTCCTAGAGGGTAAAACATGATTCAATAGAAAAATCTTGAGGTTAGAGAGACCTTGGTCCAAATCCTGGCTTTGCCACTCACTATGTTACCCTAGGCAAATTACTTAGTAAGAACTAATGCATTTTGTTACTATTTGCCAATTACTACTCTAAATGTCTTACATATATGAATAACTCATTTAATTATAATAGCCCAATGAAATATACAGTATCATTATCCTTGTTTTGTAGATGAAGAAACTGAGGCAAAAGAAGTTAAGTAACTTGTTACCCAAGGAAGGTGACAAAAAATGGGATACAGGCTGGGCGCGGTGGCCCATGCCTATAATCCCGGCACTTCAGGAGGCCAAGGTGGGTAGATCACGAGTCAAGAGATTGAGACCATCCTGGTCAACATAGTGAAACCCCGTCTCTACTAAAAATACAAAAATTAGCCGGGCATGGTGGCGCACGCCTGTAATCCCAGCTACTCAGGAGGCTGAGGCAGGAGAATTGCCTGAACCCAGGAGGCGGAGGTTGCGGTGAGCCGAGATCGCGCCATTGCACTCCAGCCTGAGTAACAAGAGCGAAACTCTGTCTCAGAAAAAAAAAAAAAAAAATGGGAGACAGAGCTGGAGCCCAAACCCAGGTAATTTGTCTCCAGAGTCCAAGCATTTAACTTCCATTCTGTTTGCCAGCTTCTCAAGGTTTCAGTTACCTCATCAGTAAAGTAAGACATTTTAAAAACTATCTCCAGGCACAAGCTCAAGAGAAAAAAAAGAAAAATAATTAAATGGTACACTGTATATAAAGCACTTGAAAACAAAGTGTTAGGTAATTTGAAGCCATTGTTACACACGTGCAATCATTTATTCTATTTGAATCTCGTAAGAACAATATGAAGGAAGTATAATTACTACCATTCTGCAGAGACACAGACTCAGAGAGGTTGGGCAATCAACCAGGGTCGTCCAGGTAGCAGGTGTTAGAACAACTATTCAAGCCCACTGCTGCGTTACTCCAAAGCCCATGCTTTTCCACTCCATCAGCCTAGGAGAAAACCATACCTAAGGCTGACACGGATGGCATAGATGCTGGTGGGCCATACTGTGGGGAAGTCTGGGGTTTGGAAGTCTTCAGAAAAGCTGCAAACACTCAAGTCTTGCCTAGACGTGCCTCATGATGGGGCAGCACCCACCAGCCCAAGCACTTTAGTCTCAAGGTGAATTTGCAATGGAATACTCCAAGAACACTGGTGCCCTTGAAAGATTCCAAACTGACCCATAGCTATTTGAAACTGAATGCTTCCCTCAAATGCTCCCTGGTGGAACCCTGAAATAGCTGCAGTTCACTGAGGTCTATTAGCACACAGTGCCACAGTGGGCAGACACTGCTCTAGGGTCAGGCACCTGAATTGAATCCCAAGATTCTCACGGGGTCTCCATGAGACCTGCAGTGAACCATTTTCTCTCTTGGTGCCTCGCTTTCTTGACTTGTGAAATAGGGATAATAAACACTTATACTACCCATTTCCCAGGGGCTTTTGAGGATCAAGGGTAAGATAATTGCTGTGGAGGCACTTTGGAAGCAATATGAAATGCTGTAGACTCAAGGTGTAATCAAAATGACCTGTTCTACATAGGTGGCATGGTAACATTTATATTTTTGTTTCCTTTTGTTTAAAACCATTATTGCTGTTAAAGGAAATACAGTGTAGATTAATTTTAACATATTAATTAAAGTGAGCTTTTCTCTCTACTATTTATAACAATTTAAAACAATTTGTACAATTTTATCTTCCTAGAAATGTTAAATAACCAATAGCTCTAGACAATAAAGCCAATTACAGTTTCTTCCCCAAACAGGAGCTAAAAGCTCAACCTTTTAACATGAAATGTGTTCATATCACTTGAGGAGCTTCCTGGTATCTATGATTACTTTCAGAACTCACATGTCCTCCCGAACGTAACTTAATATGAGAAAGGAGAGATGTCCCTTAAAGGAGTTCCAGACCAATTCAATTATCTCCAAACCTATATATACCTAGCTGCCCTCTGGATATCCAACTGCATGCTCCACAGGAAACTCACATTCAACACAGCCAAAACCCAACTCACTCTTCCTGCCGTGTTCTCAATCTCAATAGATGGCAACTCCACAAGTTAACTTAGTTTGCTCCTTCCCACTCAATGTCTAATAATAACAGGATTCTTTTTAAAGTGATTCTTACTGGCATGCCCCGCCCTCTAATAGGCATTGCACGTGTAATCTCAATATTCCCACAACAAATTCATGGAGAAAGCATTCATTTACAAGGGAGAAAGCTGACGATATTAAGCTGGAGGCAGAACTGGAATATGAACCTATGTCAAGCTAACTTTAAAGGTCTTGTTCTTTTGACTAGAGCAGGATGCTCTCCAGGTACCAAATTATCTATTTTTTTCCACGTCAGTATCTCTCAATGCATTGCTTCTGTTGCGTTGGTTCAGGTATCCTATCCTAATCCTGGCTTGGATTGCTCCAAGAGCCTGTCCTATTGCTTCCAGACTATGCTTGACCTTTCCCCTATCCCTCATCCCCATGGCTACCGGAGTGAACTTTTCCAAATGCGAAAATATCATTTCATTTCCCTGCTTTAAATCCTCAAATGCTCCCAATAGCTTCCAATAAATGTTCAAATTCTTCAGCCCCACACAAGGCCCCTCATGACCTTATCTCTGCCCTCCTCTCTAGAGTCACCTCCCACCATTTCACCCCGGGTCCTTGGCTCCAGAGATGCTATTTGCAATTCTCTGAATGTGCCATGCTAGTTCCTAGTTCTCTGTCTTCTAATAAGCCCTCCCACCACTAAAAAAGGCCTTCACTTCCCTTCTTACTTATCACAACCCATTCTTTAAAAGTCAGTTTAAATGTTTACCTTCTCCAAGAAGTCCCCCTTTTCCAACACTCACAGCTTCAGGAAGATGCATCTGAAGAGACCTAAGTCTTTTTCCATTATTCATTCATTCATTCATTCATTTAAGAAATAGTTCTTAGGCCGGGCGCGGTGGCTCAAGCCTGTAATCCCAGCACTGTGGGAGGCCGAGGCGGGTGGATCACGAGGTCAAGAGATCGAGACCGTCCTGGTCAACATGGTGAAACCCCGTCTCTACTAAAAATACAAAAAATTAGCTGGGCATGGTGGCGCGTGCCTGTAATCCCAGCTACTCAGGAGGCTGAGGCAGGAGAATTGCCTGAACCCAGGAGGCGGAGGTTGCGGTGAGCCGAGATCGCGCCATTGCACTCCAGCCTGGGTAACATGAGTGAAACTCCGTCTCGATCAACCCAGTAATACTGCACCTAACATAAGAAATAGTTCTTGAGGGCCTACTGTGTTCTAGGTACCATGCTAGGTGCAGGACTACAGGGATGAACCAAAGAGACACTGTCACTGCCTTCATGGGGATTACAATCCAGTAAGAGAGAGACAATAACACAATAACGAGACAAGTAACCACACCCTGAGCTCTGTATTATGAAAGAGAAGTAGACGGTGCTATAAAATTACACATACAGAGAAGGGAAAGGGGACTCACCTAGACTGAGAGACAGAGGATACTTCTCTGAAAAAGTGACGTTTGAGTTTAAATCTGAACGACAACTCTGAGCATTAGAGGTAGAGAAAATAGCATGTGCAGAAGGCATGAAGTGGGTCAGACCTTGCCAGGTTCTAGTAACTGGAAGGATGAGTGATTTGCTTCTAGGCCCCCTCCCTAGTCTGTAAGAAAATAGATGGCAAGACCCTGCTCTGGGTTACTTTATATCCCCAGTGCCTTGCACATGATTTTTAACCAATGAATGAATATATTGTTGGAATAAATATATGTTTGAAAACTGGAGTTAGGATTTTTTTTAAATGGAGACTCTAACATACAAATACCTTGGCCTGAAGAACATTTGTTGCCACATCTATCACTGCAAGGCCTGTTGCTCCAGCTGCTGCTGTCACTAAAACAACTTCACTGTACCAAAGAAAGACGAATGTTACTTCAGAAACCTTCAAAAGTCAACCAGTAATATGATTTCACAAACATTTTAGAAACAACATTTTAAAGCAAGAATGTTAGAGATCATTTCATTCAAACCTTCATATACACCTGTTCTCCACTCTGTAAGTTTATGGATGTGACTTCTAGATTCATGCTAATTTGGTTCAGATTTGAAAACTTCCCAGGAAAAAAATTCCTAAATCTCTCTAGGTAGCCTATCCCTCATATCAGTGGCAACCCTTTCTTTGAGGTACCATTCCAATTTATTCTCCAGAAATTCTATTTTAAAATCCTTCTCATATTAGATACTGCCCAATGTTAGAAGGTGATGACCATGTAATGGCCACTGCTCAACCAAACCCACCTCTCTGAAGCAATTCTGAGCGTCAGCTCTCTGAAAACATCAAGAAGCAATATGTATGCTCCAGGTAAAGAGTTGAATGTCAACACCTTTTCTTCTGAAATATCCTACCTAACACACTCAACAAGGCCTCACAGAAACAAATACCACGGGCCTCTATTAAACTCAAAGTAAAATGGGTTTGAATAAACCAACTCTCTACACTTTAATGCTTTTTTATGAGATGATCTCCAGAGTGGTCACGTTTAAGAGAGGTATTTCTCCGAATTCACACTGGCCAAGTTCATGGTCTATCATTTCCTCTCAGACAGAGAGATGTCCTCACAGTCATAAAACCCCAATCTCAAGTGGCTACCTCCCTTTGGCCTTTCCTCTGCCAAAAGGAAGGGAAGAGGTGGGGCACGGCCTTGCTGGACACTTCTGATATCAAGAGAAGGGTATTTTCTAGCCTGGTGTCATCTACACAGTCCTTACCCAGGCTGTGTATGGGCCCGATGCTCAAGAGCAAAAATCGCAGTACCATAGGATATAGGGAGGACAGCAGCTTCTTGTAGGGAGACCTTTTCTGGGATCTGCCACAGGTTCTATAAAAGAGATAACAGTGACTTGTGGATGAAGCATATGTACCTAGTCATAAAGGTTGCTCAGTAAATATTAGGATTTGATTTGGTGACTGATTTGCAAAGGGAAACACTTGCCCATAACCAAGCCCAGTAGAAGTCAAGACTAAGCAAGCTGTGGCAGAGTTCACGACTCGAAGGCATCAGACTTCAAAACCCCAAGGCTGGCATCTGGCTCAGGAAGGAGCCAACAGGTAGAAAAAGGAACACAGATCACTCTACTGTGATGGATGAATGGTATGATGTGTCAGTTTTCCCTTAATAAAGATGGCAGAGGGCGGTGGGGCAGGGGGTAGGGAGAACAACTGTGTACTGTTCATCGCCAGGGGGCACCATTCACACCCTGCACAACCATACTAGACTACCCTGGCTGGCTCCATTCCCAGGGTGTCTCTTTCATAAGCTTTGTGTGGGGAGAAGACCATTACATCCAGCTCAATGCCCAAAACCAGTTTTTCTACTAAAACTACCTAGTCCAAATGAACAGCCAGCTCAGGGACTCAGAAAGCAAAATGCTGTTCTTCATTCAAACACTCAACACAAACAAAGCTCTGCAAAGTGTTGTCATGTTAATGAAGAGGAGTTTAACATTTGAAAAAATGAAGTGCTTAGCTGAGAAACAAGACATGACCAAATAAATACAAAGAAAAAGAAGGAGAGGGGGAGACGGGAATGAGGGATAGGTGGAAATTAAAGAAAACAAAGGAGAAAAAAATTTCCAAGCATTAATCTTGAGCGGTACGGATACCTTCTGATCAATGATGCATTCTTCAGCCATACAATTAAAGTTTCTCATGCCAATAACTCTATCTCCCTAAAGGAAAAATACCATTAAGGATATGTGCAAATACATGACCTTGCATTCCCTTTTCCTGAATTAATCAAAAACAAAAAAAAATCCACATCTCTGACTCCATAAGACACAGGTTGGTCTTAATTATCTATTCATGGTTAATGTTTAGTAAATAAAATAAGGATTGTCTCAATACCACTACCAGGTTGCCAAGCCAATTTGAGTGAGAACATTTGAGACGATGAGATAGAGTAAGGGAAAGGTTGATTTGAATTAGAAGCCCAGTCTTCATTTCACAAGAGGCTCAAATTCTCAGTCCTCTCGGTTAACGACCGAGGTGTTGCCTTTTATTCATAATAAAAAGTTTAAGGCAGCCAGGAATTTCCAGTGACTTATTTTACCCAATTCAGAATTTGTTTCTTGCCTTTTTATTTAGGTTTCCCTTTGGTGTCTGCAGGCAAAAACCAGTAGAAGCAAGGCCCTTTGGCTACAAATGAAGTTAGCACATTTTTCATAGCTACATATATATTGATTCCCTAGACTTCAACTAATTTACCTCTTTAACTGTGCTGACATCTGTGCCTGTCTCCAATACTGTCCCAGAAAACTCGAGTCCTAAAAACATATTGTTTAAAGATTAGGTTATCTGTAAAGTACAACACCATGGAGATGAGAAAACACTGATTGACAGGCCAATCCATTAGGTTCTGGAGCTGAGAGAGTTTAGGTGCCCCTCCTCCTCTCATATGCGGGTAGAGAGGTAAGGGTGTTATACAAACATAAGATTTCATGATCACAACCTGGGAAGCTATAGCAGTCCCAATCTTACCATGACACAAATGAAAATTTCAAGAATGTGCAAAAGCACAGAGAATTACAGGTGCACAGGTACTTCTAACCCTAATCACTGGGACCTTACCTCCTATAGCACCCAATGACAACGATCATCGTATTTATCTGCTTTCAAGTCTCTTCTGCTGACTACAGGGCCCTCAAGGACATGAATTGCGTTTATTCAGACAGTATTTGGCTCAACTGGATGAACTGGTGCTTTCTGCCCTTTCCTCTTTCACTTCCGAAATTTCTGAATTAACAACCATGGTTCCTACTTGAGCTGCCAGGGGAATAGCTCAATTGAGTATGACATCTTCCCCTGCAACCAGCATTTCAGCAAATACAAACAGAAGGAGATGGTTCCAACTGTTGAGACACAACCAAACACCCTGAGACCAAAACACGGTAACTATTTTACAGTCACTATATCTTTAATAATATATATCTGCATAAGACATACATGCGCTATATACTTGCTAAGCTGTACTTATAGCCCTTTAAATAAATTTCAACAACAAAAATCAGTCACTTGTTCACATGTTCGGATCTAGAAGTAGATTAGGAACAAAAATCAGACAATGGGCTGCCAAGAAACCCACAATCTTTTCTTCTCCTTTGGCATTAGGCTTTATTGGGAATGTGTCTGTGAGGCTGCAGGTTTTAGCGTCAAACCAATGTCTGTGATCCTTCAGTGAAGAAACAAAATTGGGGCAATATCCGGCAAAGAAAGGGAATGACTAGGGCCAATGATAATTTTAGTGAACAGAATTTTGGTGAAAATTCATTTGTTCATTTATTCGTATTTAGAGTATTTATTAGCACCCACTAAGAGCCACGTACAATGCTAAGCTGGGGGATACAATGTTGAGCAAGACAGGTGTAGAATCTGCCCTCGTGAGGCTCACAATCCAGTGACCCTAATTCACAGTGAGACGGACACATCCAACTGAACCATCACTGACGGCAGGCAAACACTAACAGAGCACTGCCTGAGACCAAGGGTATGGTTCTGAAAACGCTGTATCTTTTTTTTCTCAAGCAGTCTCTTGGTCTCCCCATACTTACCCGGTGTGAAGGGAAGATGGGGCTTTTCCTGATATTGACCTCGGCAGACCAAAATATCAGCAAAGTTAACGCCACAGAAATGGACATCAACTCTGACCTGCAAAGGAAATAGAGCAGCAAAGCAGAAAACTACACATCCATGGAGACAACGTTCATTCAATTATACCAAAATAGTTACTGAATGACAACGATATGCCAGGTTCTGAAGTAAGAGCTGGGATACGCTCATGAGGCAAAATGGGCAAGGTTTGTGCCTTCATGAAGCTAAAGTATAGCAGAGAAAACAGACATTAACCAGATAATAATGAAGATACATATATTAAAACTCCAGTACAATACATGGGGCACACCTGTGTTCTCAAGCCACTCCACCTAGATTTAGGGATGATTCGAGGATGAATGTCGTTCAGCATGTGAACCCAGGAAGCAGATAGGCTGCCATCATGTGCTCATCCAAATAATCCGTGTTAGCCATGTTAGCTCATAGGCTCCACGCCGGTGACACTTCAGGGCTATGGCCGCCTTTCTCCCTCTCCCTGGGAGTCTCCAGCACTGAAGCCCACTGCCTGCTTGACGCTGTCTGAGGTTCTCATCTCCTCACCAGATGGCACTGTGTTACTAGAGAGGTCAACAGGCAGGACCAAAGTGACGTCCACATTTCAGTGGAACAGCTGCCCATATCCCTAAACGAATCCAATCCCAAATCTCTGCAGTACACCAGAGGCATATGTTCACATGGAAACACGGGGGTCACCGGGCTGGTTTGGGGGAGGCAGACGCCAAATAATTGGATGCCGGCACTTAAAACGTGGAAAGAAGCAAAGGATGAGGTCCATGTACCTGTGTTAAACCAGTAACTTGCACATACAAAGTCGTGTGCAAATCAGAATTCTCTGTTTCTAAGGCAACAGCTCTGAGCACTGAGAAAGAGGCCTATAGGCGTGTTCTGGGGAAACAATCTTCCTTTGGCACTTTGGACCTTGGAAAGGGATTCAACCTCCTAGCCCAGGACGCAGTTGCCCTCCAGTCTCTCGGTCGCCCTCTCGCTTCGGAACTGGGAACTTGATTCAAGAAGGCAGGCTGAGGGGAGTGTGTGGTAGCGGGGAGAAGGGGAGGGCAGAAGGGGATAAGCCAGCCCCCTACCTCTTGAGGCCCGACGGAGCGGGGGGGCCACCTCTTCAATGGTCAGGGGCTTCTTCAACTCTGCGCAAATCGCGGCGCGGTAGTGCCGGCCGCAGCCCTGCCCGGCTCTCCTGCAACACAGAACGAGGGCCGGGTCACTGGGGCAGCCCCGCTAGGGCACCCCGGGACTGCTTGCGGGGCTCAGGGAGGAGCCGGAGTTGCACCTGCAGAGGCACGCCCGAGGGAGGCACCGCCTGCAGAGAACCGCCACCTTGCCGAGGACCGGACCGCGCGAGGGGCGAGGGGGCGTGGCCAGAGCGCGGCCGGAAGGGCCGGACAGCGCCGCCCCGCCCCGGGAGAGCGGAAGGGCGTCCTCAGAGGCCTCCGGACTACGCTCCCCGGCTGCCAAGCCCCAGCGCTGGCGGGGCAGCTCCGGCCCGGGGCGCCCGGCTTCTCCCGCGGCCGAGCCCGAACGAGCGCGCGAGCCCCCTGTTGGGCGTCTCTGGAGGTGTAGCCGGCTGGAAGAAGAAAAGAAAAAGGAAAACACCAGGAAACGGAATTAGATTACCCGAGATTAACGTTTGTTGGCATTTTTTGTAACAAATTTTGGAGACTTGGTTTTTTTTTTTTCATACAATTTCAATTTTTATTTTAAAGGGGCTACGGGTGCAGATGTTACCTGAGTATATTGCGTGATGCTGAGGTTCGGGGTACGAATCATCCCGTCACTTCGGTGCTGGGCCTAGAACCCAATAGTTTTTTCAACCCTTGCCTCCCTCAAAATTGGGAGACTTTTTAAACTACGCTTGGCGACATTTAAATAGTAGTTTGGAGCTGGGTGGCTCACGCCTGTAATCTCAGCACTTTGGGAGGCCATGGCGGGCAGTGGCCCGCGTCTGTGGTCTCAGCAACTCGGGAGGCTGAGGCGGGAGGATCACTCGATCATAGGAATTGGAGGCTGCGGTGAGCTATGATCGCACCACCCTGGGCGACAGAGACCTTCTCTATAGATTAGAAAGATAAGATAAAGGTTCTTGGGTCCTTTGCAGTGCAAAATCCTAAATGCACAGGTAAAGGCTTGATTTTATTTATTTGTTTGTTTGTTTTATTTTTGAGACAGGGTCCCGCTCTGTCACTCAGGCTGGAGTGCAGTGGCACTATCTCGGCTCACTGCAACTTCCAGCCACTTAGGGTCAAACCATCCTCCCACTTCAGCCTCCCATATAGCTGGTACTATAGTCGCACGCCACCACATGTGGCTAACTTTTTTGTATTTTTTGTAGAGACGGGGTATCACCATGTTGCCCAGGCTGGTCTCAAACTCCTGGCCTCAAGCGATCTGCCCACCGTAGCCTCCTGAAGTGCTAGAATTACAGGCTTGAGCCACCACGCCCTGCCAGGTAAAGGCTTTAAAATCAGCATGTGAACGAACGCCTTGTTAGAGTTCAATTCTTGTTACTAATTTTCTCACATTTACAGGATCTAGTTATTAACGATCCAATGTTGAATGAGCCTACACAGATCCAAAGAATACTTCCAATTAAAATCAAGCTAAACCCCACCACAGGGAGAGTGGAAGGCCATTGGTTCTCATGTTCCCAGTGCCCGTATTAGGCTTGGCACCGAGATGCTCAGTAAATGTTTGTTGATTTGCAGACCAACACAGACCATTTGCACTAGGTGAATAAGCACACTCTGGAAGAATTGAAAATATACAATATAATCTCTGAAATACTATAAAACTGGGTAGATCTCTATTGCAACAGTAACCAAATATTTATAGGCTAGCTATATAAGAGAAGCACACATTATCCTGGAGAGAATATTTCATTTGACAGGTAACTTTTTTTTTTTTTTTTTGAGACGGAGTTTCGCTCTTGTTACCCAGGCTGGAGTGCAATGGCGCAATCTCGGCTCACCGCAACCTCCGCCTCCTGGGTTCAGGCAATTCTCCTGTCTCAGCCTCCTGAGTAGCTGGGATTACAGGCACGCGCCACCATGCCCAGCTAATATTTAAAGAGAGCTTGATGCCTTTAAAAGACATCTGGCAGAAAAGTAATCTCAGATTCAAGCCTATCTCTACCACTTGTTTGTGTGGGTTTGACATTGACACTTGTTGGCTCTCTGCCTCAGTGAACTCCTCTGTAAAGTGAACACATTGGGCAGAATAATCCCTAAATTGCTAAATTATTTCTATTTTTTTGACAGAAACAGAATTCCCAAGTAAAGCATGACCTGGAAGGCATGATCAGGAATGAAATAAAGGGAAAATGAAAGGGAAAAATGAAGTAAGAATGAACTTCTGAAATTATGGCCTAAAGGCTCTGGAGGAAAGAAATCTAAGAGCAAGGTCCTCACCTTGGATATACAGTAGAGCTTACTGTTATTTTAATAGCACTCACAAGAAATTTGAGAAGTCATTTGAGTCCTCTCTCCCTTCCCACAAGAGGAAGACTAGAACAATGACTAGAAGCTGAGAAAATGAAAAAACTTGTGTTTCCAATAAGACATGAAAGCACTTTGTGAACTGCTAATCATTAGGCATATAAAATCAAACCAGGAATAATAAAATCAAACCAGGAATAATGGAGAAATACTAACATTATCATCAAAGTGAACATTCTGGTTGCTAAAAAGTGAGTGGCAAGGCACACTGGCTCACACCTGTAATCTCAGCACTTTGAAAGGCTGAGGTGAGTGGATCACTTGAGGCTAGGAGTTTGAGAACAGTCTGGGCAACATAATGAGACCCCCCTCTCTACCAAAAATACTAAAACTTAGCCAAATGTGGTAGCACACGTCTGTAGTCCCAGCTGCATGGGAGGCTGGGGCATAAGAATCACCTGGAGGTTGCACTGAGCCAGGATTGCGCCACTGTACGCCAGTCTGGGTGACAGAGTGAGATCTTGTCTGAAAAAAAAAAAAAACAGCAACAAGAAAGTGCACATTTATTAAGTATGAAACCAGGATTTATTGTCCTGAGGATGAAATATTATATATGGAAAGTGTTTTGTAAAATATTAAGTATTTATACAAGATATAAAGCAAGCAGCTCTTAATTAAGCTCCATGAAAGCAGCAATCATTTAATCTCCTTTATGTTTTCAGTACTTTGCACAAGACCTGACACAGGCATTTAATACATGTTTATTTAATGAATTGTTCAATAAACACTGAGTTATCCATTATCAATTTTCCACATACAAAAAAGTATCTTTAAGAATCAAACTTATTTTTAATTGTTTTTATGGAAAATTTCTCAATTATGATTTTCATAATATCCTTGTCTTTCTCAAATAATATGAAAATATTTGGGACAAGAATATTTAGAGAAATCAACTAGTTTGGAGAAATTAGTCAAGACTGCATTCTGCATTTATAACAATATCTGAAAAAAATAGTAAAAGCCCCATTAAGAAGAATCTTGGAGAGAGATGAAAGTATTTTCGGTAATTGAGGTGATTTTAAGCACATATGCAAAATAACTTTCACATTTCCAAAGAGAATCAAAGGTATGTGACAAGACATTTAATAGTAGTTGCTATAGTAGCAAAAGAAATATTTGGTCTATCCATCAAAGTGCTGCCACCACACCCTGCTATCTACTTTTGGCGATTGTTTCTGATTATTTTATTTTATTTGAAGGGAAGATGGAAATGGGACAAGAAGAATAAAATTTGAGTCCTGGGAGAGAATCAGACCAAGCAGCTAAATCTGAACCATCTATCCTCTGGAAGAAAAGAAAGAAAGGATAAATAGCTGCCCTGCAAACCAGCTTGAGGGCTCATTAAGGAAGTAAAAGAGTAACAGATGACTCTTCCTTCTGGTATAGCTCACATGAAGAGATAATATTTAACATCCAGAAGCTGCTGGAGGGCTGAGGGTGGAGAAGCAAGCCAATGCTGAATACACAAACAGCTATGTTTTCACAGAATAATAGACAAACAATATATAAACAATGTAAGCACCATGCAGGACTATGCGGAAAATGCAAAATTATCCTCCACAGTTAAAATGCTTTAACCAGTAGATTGTCAGTCCCTTGAGAATATAGACTGTCTCAGTAGCCTCAGAGCATACCACCACTCCTGGAACATTGCAGGTTCTCAGCAAATGGTAGGAAGGTGTGAGCGGCTGCCAGCCACAACATAACTATCCAAAGCCACGAATCCAGACAATTTTAAGGGTTATTGCACCCACTTCCTTAGCTAAGTATACAGATGCTGAACATAATCTCATCTTCTTTATAAGTAGTTCAGTATTGCCATGTTAGATATAAATTCTCTTCTGCCACAATGATGTCCCCCCAAATTCCTGAGGTGGGTAGGAGTAGTTTGCTTTTTCACTGCATTCCCCTAAGAAGGCTCTTTCTGATTGTTACAGTTGGGGTTAACTTTTATCAACTTCAGAAATGTACTTTGGCCATTAATATGCATATTGACCTACTCTATTCCAGGAAATGTGTAAGATTTCTATGTAAGTCATTTGCTCCAAAAGTTATGGAATCATAGAATTTTTGGAGCTGGAATGGGTCTTTGAGATATTCTAATCAAACCACTTCATTTACAAGTAAAAAATCTGAGGTTAGGGGAGAGGCTGCTCTTAATACTGTGCTCTTCGGATCTCACTTCTCAACACTATTCTTAATAGTGATAATATTTCACATTTTCATAGTTCTTCATAGGCTTCAAATCTCTGTCACCCAAATTTTTTCATCCTGCTAACCATGAGAGTAATAATAATCACAAGTAGCACTGGCTAGGTGTGGTGACTCACATCTAAAATTCCAGCACTTGGGAGGCCTTGGCAGAAGGACCCCTTGAGGCCAGGAGTTTGAGAACAGCCTGGGCAACATAGTGAGATCCCAACTCTATTTAAAAAAAAAAATAGAAAAATTAGACATGGTGGCATGTGCCTGAAGTCCCTGCTACTAGAAAGGCTGAAGAGGGAGAATCGCTTGAGCCTAGGAGTTCAAGCTTGCAGTGAGCCATGATTGTGCCCCTGCACTCCAGCCTGGGCATCAGAGGGAGACCCTGCCTCTAATAAAAATAAACAAGTAAACACGTAAATAAGCAGTAGCACTTACTGGTTATTTCTGACAAACCAGTCACTAAGTGCTTTTGCATGATTTCATTAATCAACCCCCAATAGTTCTATGACTAGGATACTATTATTTTTGCTCTTTTATAGATGGGGAATATAGGCTTAAGGAGGTCAAGTAACTTGCCCAACACTACAGAGCTAGGAAATGGAGCAGTTTAGAATCATCCTGATTGCCTGGTATCAGAGCCTCTACAACAGTATCTGGCTGCCTACTGTGCTTTCCCTGATACCCCCGAAAGCACCCAAAGAAGGTATTATACAATATATTTTAAAGCAATGCTTTGCTTGCAGTTTTAAGCCTCATTTTATAGGAATTTTACACTCATTCAAGCCTAGAAAATAGATTAATTCCCTGGAGGAGAGAATAGAGAAAGCAGCCTTCAGGGATGCCTGTGGTTAAGGGACAAGAGCAGAAAGAGATCCTAACGCATAATTAGGGTTACTACACTATTCCGTA